TTTTTTTTTTTCTTTCTTGTTCTTTTTATTATCAGTTTGTTTGCTGTTGTGTTTTGTGTCTGTTTATGTATGTCTGTGTGTTTGTTTTGGGGGACAGGGAGTTGCTTTTGTTTTGGGTCTGTTTTTTGTTTGGTTTTGGTTTGGTTTTGTTGCTGGGTTGGGTTGTTGTTTGTTTTGTTTTGCGTTGTTTTTGTTTTGTTTGGGTTTTTTTTGGGGGGGAGTCAGAGCTCTTGAATAATGTTAAAGACTACAGTGAAAAAGATCCCACGTTTAAGATAGAAGGGTAGTCTCTGTTTTTTGTATTTTCCTCATACATTGGCTCACCCACTTTCAAACGTGTTACCTCTTGTATGTCATCCTACAATGCATGTATATTTTTTGTTAAGATTTGTTTGTTTACGAATTGCCAAGAGGTCGCTATAGTGTCGCTTTGAAGACGATCGTGGCGGTTTTTAATTAATTTTTTAAAATAGCTTTAAAACAAAAAAACAACAAAGAAAAGGCTTACATATGGCATTATCAAGATTAAAAAATCACTTTTGTGTTTCAAATGAAAATTAAATGGAACTTCTGTGTTTGAAACATACTAGCTAGTCTGGTGTTAATACGAGAACGGCAATATCCTCAATGTTAAATTATTGGATGTTCTTTTCTACTTGCAAAACACATTAGTTTTTTAGTGAGGGCGAATAGAAACAGTGTCTTTTTTCTTTTCATCTGTTCCCATGTGCCTTTCTGATTTTGCAAGCGTAGTTTGATCACTGATCACCTCAAACTGTACCAATAAAAACTGAAATAGATTACAGATTTAGAACAAGTTTAGCCTACTAGTATTCTACCATGACGCAGGTGTTTATATTGGAGTCCTAACGCCTTCTAATAGAGTGACTGTGAAAAAAAACATGGGAGCCCTCGATTAAACTGGTTAAACGAATATGAAACACGATAATGCATTATCTGATATTTTTTTGTGTATGTGTATCAAATAAGTAACATTTCCATTCTAAGTTTCTTACTCGCATTAAATGATCTCTTTTAAAAGGCTCGAGCAAAAATTTCAGTAATAACAATTATATTTCTACATTCGTCACTTCAGCCTTGCGATGTTGAAGCCCGAGCGTACACTAATGTAGCATCATTTCACGTCCTACTCTGATAGGTTCGGCCTGGGCAGATATTGTGGAAATGTTTTCTCGCAGGAGACAAGCTGGTTGATAGGACAGCTCAGACAGGTAAAGGAATAACGATCCGTGCCTGGATGGATTGCTATATTATTATATTGGTCTATGTGGTACAATCTTGGCACTGACACAGAGTCAAATGCCTTACAAGGTGTCCAAAAGAAATGAGGACCCATGTACATGACAATAACTCTGACACTTCTGCACCATTTTCAGAAACTCCTCGAACAGATAAAATTCAACCAAAGAGACATCAAATTAATATGAATAAAAATCAACCTTTCTTTTCGAAAAATATCACATTTTACAAACGTCATCCAAAATTGAGTAAAACACAAAATTTTTTAGCTTCTTAATAATCAACAGTAATGTGTACTTTTCATTAAAGTAAAAAACAAAATTATTTACAATGAAATTGCAAAAACAAATCAAGGAAAGTGTATGCTGTTTTAACTATAGTTATATACTCCTACAGACAGACAGACATACAGACAAACAGACAGACAGACAGACAGACACACAGACAGACAGACACACAGACAGACAGACACACAGACAGACAGATAGACAGACAAAAGACAGACAGACAGACAGACAGACAGACAGACAGACAGACAGACAGCAAAGACCTTTTGAATACTTGAACGAAGAGAGGAGCATAATACGCAGCTAACGCAGAAAAAAACATCAATTCCTAGAGAAATTTTAACAGTCCAACAACCTAAAAGGTAAAGTCATATTTCTAAAAGCCAATGTCTTCTATTATTCTCGTAAGACGTTCCACTGTACCCTCTTCTCAGGGCATTGAACTGAAGAGAGACTCCGACGGTACCTTACTGGCAAGGCGCCTGTCTCAACTGCCTGTCACAGTGAGAAAGTCTACCGAAGGTTATCTATCAGCAGACCTGGTCAGGAACAGGGGAGTGCTGCCCTTGGGCACTTTCGTAAAAGTACGAGAAACCTGTTATATTGTGTGTTCTTATGTTACAAACAGTATTCCAATAACTATGGTAATTGCATTAAAATAGTGATAATGATAATATTATATTATATTAGTAGTAGCAGACTAATACTACTACCACTACTACTACTACTACTACTACTACTACTACTACTACTACTACTACTACTACTGCTGCTGCTGCTGCTGCTACCATGTTTTGCAGATTCTGGATATGACTGAATTCCAAAGCCTGATTCGACTTACTATGAAGAAAGGGACTTTCACGCAGGAAAGTTTACGAAGCCTGTGTGTGGTGGGTCTTGAAATAGGACGTTGTTCCCATTCCATTTCCAGCACACCTTTATGTCTTGCTGTCGTGAGCATCGCAGCTCTTCGACTGCTCATGGACAAGAAAGGTGACGTCCACGTTTGTGTATGTTTTACAGTTTGACTTAAAGCAAAGGTGATTTTTTTTTAATTGGAGATGAATACTTTAGCTTCAGGTCTGAAAATGGCACAAGGCAAGGCAGTTTCTGCATGAACACAATGGCACAGAAAGATTTTCAAGAAAGATCTCCTTGCCCACTTTGTTGATAATTCATGCTGACTTAGTTATTGGAGAAGATGGGGGAAGTCATAGCAAAGTTACCAGAATCACTGGAAATCTCTACTGGCTACTGAAGGTATCAAGTGACGAATGTAGTGATCGATACAAATCACTGAACTCCAAATAGGAGTGAGACAAGGTTGTGTCCTCTCTCCCTGTCTTTTCAACATGTACACTAGGTTTTTTATAATGTGTATAGAATCTCAAGACCTAAAAGGAGTCTAGTCACTAAGGAAGGCCGCAACATCGAGAACTCGAGAAATGCAGATGATACAGTCATTGTTGTTGTTGGGTTTTTTATTATCATTTTTTCAGAGCTCTTTTTAAATGGACTTTGTCAGAAATTGACGGACAAACTTTGGTTTTATCTATACGAACAAGTAACTTAAAACTATAATTGTTACGGAAAAATGTAAAATCTGGCTATTAAATACTAATCGTTTTATCGTATTGCCTTAATTTGTCTTTAGAAATCAATTCTGTATCCTTGATGACGTCACGGCTTGCAATGGAGCGAAGCGATGAGAAAGACTTGCAAACAATGCTGCAAGCGGACGCAAAAGCGAGAGTAAGGTCCTTTGATGAAGCCATAGAAAGCCTTCCGAATTGACTGAATTAGTGCTACTTAAGGGTGTGAAGGTGGACCGTTTGTGTCAGGGTGTGTGTTGGGGGGGGGGTGTAGTTTTAGTATGTTTCTTTTGAGAACGTTCAGGAAGAGGAGGGGGAACAAGGAGGAGAATGAGGGGGAGCAAGTGGATGGGAATTATGAAGAAAAGTGATCTGATTGCTTGTTCTTATGACGTGTGATGAGGGGCATAATTGGAGGTTTTTTCTCGCTGCCTGGAGAATTGTTGTTATGCATGTGCTTGTGGGTGACTGTGGAACGGGTAATTAAAGTATAATATGGGTTTAGCTTCCTTTTCGACTTTTAGGACGGGCAGGACGATAGTGACAAAGGGGAATAAGAGAAAGAGGGAGGGGGGAGATAATACCTAAGAGATTGAGGAATGAAAGAAGGGGATGGACAAGTACAGAGAAAAGACTGTCGTTTGTTCTGGTTATCTGAGGTTTCAACACCATTTCCTATTTGCTTATCCCCCTCTCTCTCTCTCTCTCTCTCTCTCTCTCTCTCTCTCTCTCCCTCTCTGTCTATTCCACCACTACCCCACCCACCCATGGGTAAGGTGACTAAGACTTTCTACTGACCTGTCAATATCAGACAAAACCCTGCCCCAGCCCCGCCCCCACCTTACCCCACGATATCTCCAGTCTCTGAGATGTAGAGATTCTGATCATCTCTCCCGGTTCCAGTCTTTCCACCGGACTTTCAATCTTGTCAAAATACAGTCGAACCTGCTTTAACGACCACCTATTTTGAATGTACATCACCAGTACAAACGGCCATTTCCTATTATTACCCTCCTTGCGTTGCGTTTAAAAAACAACAACATTGTAATGTTCCTGTGTAAGACGATCACTTGTCTAAGACGGCCACTTTTGTCCTCGTGTATGTGTTGTCGTTTTAGACAATTTCGACCGTACATTTGAACCTGCCCAAGACAGGTGCTCCTTTTGGAGAGTGTCATCATTATACAGAAAAAAGAACGCAAAAGTGTGTGCGGGGGAAGGGTGGGGGAAGGGGGAGAGGCAAAGTGGGAATTGGTCATTTGTACAATTGTCTTGGACAGGTGATTGTCTTGGACAGGTGATTGTCTTAGAGAGATGATTGTCTTGTACAGGTGATTGTCTTGGACAGATGATTGTCTTGGACAGGTAGTTGTCTTGGACAGGTGATTGTCTCGTACATGTGATT